ATCTGTGTGCCTACAAGTTTCAAAGATAAACTCAAGACAAAGCAATGTTAAGATGTGTTATCAGTAGCTATCTGACACACAATTAGTGTTTCCAAACATTTGAGTGGTTTGTCTCCACCCCTATTTGTTTCACAGATTAGTCATTTGCATATGAATGTGTCAGACACAAGGTCACACAGCCACTGAAAAAAAAATCATTGATTTTGGTGTTTTCATATGCCGAATTTATCCAATTATAGCTATCCCATTTCTTTATTTTTTTTTGTTTCCAATAGCCTTACACATTTGGATGTCCCTACTCATGTTAAAACAGACCTTGATGGGAAAACAAATTGATTGTGCCGATAAACAAGCTTGAAAATCTTTGCTGTTACTTCATGGACGTTTTCTAGGAGTTTATGTTTTTCAAAATACAAAGTCTTTAACAAAAATAACGTATACTTATTATCGTCGGATTAACACCAAATTTTCACAGCTTTAAGGTGACAGTGAGAGGAACTTGAATGTGTCCAGACAAACTATTTCATCGATTATTTACCAACGAGTTGTGGTTTGAGTTGGGGGCAATGCGACTAAAACAGTAATTGAAATTCAGCACACTATTTTTTAAAACGCGTTGCTTGAATAAAACTGACCAGACACATTCAATTTACCAGACTATTGAACAACTAGGAAAAGTGAAAAAAATACTTCTTATCGCCAGCATAAATGCGTAATTATTTTTTTTACAGAAAAAGTAATGTTTCACCTTTGGTTGAGTAACGCGTCGTAGAATGCAGATACGGGCATGCAAAATACACTTGTGAAAAGCTTGAAGTCTGGCGATTCTAAAAATATATACTTTCCTGGGTCTATTTGTAGTCATTTAGTCACAATTAGAAGATGAAAACAAGTATGCAAATAATAGTCCCGCTACCTTAATGTGATTGCCAGTTTCAACTTTAAGGCAATGAACGTTAATTGCACGAAGCGAGGGGTGGGGGTTTGCTGTTCTGTATAAAACTAATGAACTTAAATCTGATATCACTGAAGCAAAATGTAACAGAAATTACATAATTTGGTGTAAAATTATAACATTTTTCAGTGGTATAAAAATACAGTAACAACACTAATGTGACGCAGTATAACAATATGGCACAGCAGTGAGGTCACTGGAACAAAAATACAAATGTAGTAAATATCTCGGCTGTCTTATGACTATGTTTATACACACAACCACGTGTACGCATTGCAGATATATATCAGCTAGGGATTACCATTTGGAAGTGGGGGGCTCAGATTTGAGGATAAAAAATGGTGCTATGACTGCATAGTGTAAAATAGGGGCGTAAATTTATCATTGTTTTTCTGAAAAGCAAATTATGTACCTATTTTCACCTATGATCTTCCGTGTAGTAGTAGTCTTTTTTTATATTCACTATTATGTTATTCATTTTCATTTCCAAGAGTATGTGCACAGACTATGTGATTCGCCCTTGTGTATTTAAATAAACACTCCCCTCACCCTTGATTTGAAATGACACGTTCCTTTCATTATTTCACTGCCGCAGCAGCGTTAAGCGTAACAGGTTCATACTAGTTCCCGCAGGTAGGGGCCGTCATAATGTTGTTATCTGCGGTGGACGTCGGTTAATAAAGTATATTCTGAATTGATATCTAAAAGATCGTTATACGCATTATCATGGCCTTATGAAAAAACGCGTGATTTCTAGACTATTGCAATTATTCATCCCAGTTCCCAAGAACTGTGGGTCACGCCCCATATTTGACATATTTGTGCAGCCTGAGGTGTAACTTGGGGTTTAATCATTCGGTACTCAATGTCTTCAGTGAAAATACCTAAATGAGCTATAATTCTACGAACACAGATGCCTGCATGTCGCAACTGCGGATGTGGCATAAGCAGAAATAGGTTACACGTGATTCCATAGTGAGTGATGTGATTATATTTTTTTACACTTTCACTCAAAAAACACACGAGATAAAGTTGTTTGTCAAACCCTATCTTTAACAACTGTCACAAGTATTTAACATGGAGGATAACAACATTTTGACCATGTGTCTCTGACGTCAATTGTTTATCTAACAGAAACTCTTCATATATAGTAATGACACGAACAAAGTATTCGGCATTCCAAATCGAACCATGAAGGTCGACCCAAATAAATTCATTCCCGAGATACCCGTGTAGTAAGCTATGAAGATTAATGAATGTATAGTGTTAATGTAGACACGTCACAATAATTCCAGCTGTTATCTTACATGAAATATAGTTCAACTGGGAATTAACGACCCGAAAGCAGTCAGGGAAAGATGCCTTCAAACTGGTCTATGTTAAATAGTTATCTTTTTCGATAGTTTTCGAAATAGCAATAAAAAATAGGCACATGTAGTGTGCGCCATACATTAGCCATATGCTCGTCCTTATGTTCTGCCATTTCAAGCTGCCTAGGAAAACTATTCAATAGCATTTTAAATACCAGGCTAGTAACTTGCTTTGAAAATAAAAACATTCTTACAAAACAACAGTTTGGTTTCAGAAAAAAAATGACGAACAACAGATAACCTTTTCCTCTTGAAAACAATCGTTAATAAGTAAAGAAACAAAAAACGAACAAACAAGAAATTCGAATAAAGTTTATGCATGTTTTGTAAACCCAAGAAAGGCGTTTGACAGCGTTTGGCATAAATGATGGCCTTAATTCAAAACTTCTAAAATACAATGTTACAGAGAAAATGTTCAATATAATTAAGAACATGTATAGCAATGTCATATCCATGTATAAAGTTCAAACTAACACTGGATTAACAACTGATATCCTATCGACATTCGTTGTCAAACAAGACTGCAATTCAAGTCCAAATCTATTAAACTTATTCATTAACGATCTACCAGATAGTTTTGATGTTGACAGTTGTGATTCAACTCTATTAACTATTACAAAAAATAGCTGACGACATAGATCTATCAAAATAGAAAACTAGGTTTACAAACCTGCTTTGACAAATTAGCCATGTACACCTCAAAATGGTATTTAACAGTAAATACTGAAAAAAACTTAAATTATAATTTTTAATAAATCAAATAAACTTCTAAATAACAATATTTTCTTCTACGAAGGCAAAAACATTGGTATCGTAAGACAATTTAACTATTTCGGCCTCAATATAACTCCAAATGAAAAATTGAAAGAAGGTCTAAAACACTGAATTGAGGTGTAAAGATATACACCCCACATTCTGTCGCATTCTTTTGAATATCTCAAATCACTGCTTCATACAAAAACAGGCAATTAAATATATGATCAGAATATCCAACTCCAGTAACACACTCTCATATGAGGCATTCTTGGTTTAACAGAAACATGAAGAGCAAATGGTACATAAAAATGAAATCCATTCTTAATGATGCAAGCTAACAAGAACTAATATATTCTCATGATCAAATAACATCAGCGAAATTAATAAACTTTGATATAAAAATAAGAATATATTTTCAGTACACTGGACAAATGAAGTACATGATGACAATAGAAGAAAGGGGAACGGAAGAAATAAACTAAGAACCTACAGTTTAGAGGATTATTTGACAAACATTAAACACATTGAAATCGTGGAAAATCTTAGTAAATTTCATTTAAGTAACCATTCACTTATAAAATGAAACAGGGCGCCATACTTAATTGCCGCAATAAAGGGGTATGTCTTCTCTGTGACACAAATGAGATAGAAGATGAACAACATTTTGTGATGTCTTGCCCTGTTAATACCAACACAGAAATAGTCTATTTATGGAAGCAAGGAAAATATCCCCAAATTTCAATAAAATAAATCACGACGACAAATTCAGATTTATCTTGAGCAATGAATCCCTGTCAGTTCCTTTAGGCCAATATTTGCATATCTGTTTTGAATCTACACAGCAACACCTCCTTGACATGGATGTCATCTAGCGACTTTCAAAATTCTTGGATTTTCTATCATTTTCCTTTTTAATTGTTGCTTTTACTGTGTATGTGTATGTCATGTCACTTTTCATGATTTGTTTTGTTTTGTTTTGTTTTGTTTTGTGTGTGTAATGTATCCATTATCACCCATTCCTGGACCAACGAATGTTAAGTGATTAAATAAACACATTTCTGAAGAAGGCTTGCCGTATAGATGGGGGCTCTTCCTTTCAAGTTCTGTAAGCTTTCCCACTTCTTCTCAGCACTTCTGTTCCCAGTTATTTTTGCTCCATCGTCTGAAACACTTCGCGAAACCGTTTCCGCATCTGTACTGATAAGTTACATGCGCTATTTTACATTTGCCGTATCCGTATTCGTGCTTACGGAAGTAATATCACAACCACAAACCCAATCGCTTTACAAGACACAAAATGTGTTTTTAATAAATATTTATAAATTTCAGTGGCAGTTGAATTAAACCAGCTAATTAACGGATGCAGAGTGACAAATTTTTAGTACATATGTACGAGCCATTGTTGGTGTCCTTCAATCATTGACGTTGCACGAAGATATTCTGTAAGGGCGGTATACATTCGCTAACGCGCTGTGATTGAAATTTATAAAACATGTATTATATATATATATATATATATATATATATATATATATATATATATATATATATATATATATATACAATGGTTACAACGGTTGACTTTGGTACAGTTCCTCCATAGTTTATATAGGGACTGTGACTTTGTTAACCCCCGAAGTGCAGAAAAACGCTGGGGGGGATGTGTCGAATGAGTAATTTACTGTGTCAAGTGTACCAGAATTTATACAATATCAATGTATCTCTGTTGAAATGAATGAACCTTTCGTAAATGAATAATCTGTGTGTTATACTGCAATTATCAACGTAGTTTTAATTATTTTGGGAAAACAATGCCACTTTAAAAGAAAAAAAAGAGAGTTATACTCTTACATATGTGAGTACCATGAAACCGTTGACAGTGACGTCACATGCTCATTTACATACAGTTTATGATTATAGGATCGACGCCTACAACACAGCGACCGCCGGCATATTGTGTTATTTTCGACTGCGCAATCACGCACACTTCGTCAGTCTGCTTTTTGCTATTTTTCCACATTTTCTAGGCCACACTAGAAGTAGAAGTTCTGGTAATTATCATGGTGAGTATTTATAAAAAGCTGATCAAAGACGGTTGATTTAAATAGTTCGCATGTTGATGTTTTGTCGCCATGCAGTGTTGAAAAAACGACAGTGAAATTCAAACCTTTTGTATTCGTAATACATTTTACAATTATCTAATTCAAAAGTGCAAATTCGCTATGGTATTTTACTTAGTATCTTTTTAAACCCGTATTTCCCGAAAGAAATGAAAAATAACAGAAACAGATGTCAAGAATGTGTTTGTGACACTGCCTGTAACACTGCCATGGCTGAGGCCCGGGCCGAGGTACTAGAGTTTTAATATTATACCTCCATGGCTAATATTAATTTTACATTGTAGCAGCTTAAAATATTCCTACCTTCAGTGTTTTTGATTAGGGCTATACATAGTATCCTTTGTTTATATATTTTCCAGTAACGCATTGATATTTCTGCTGGTTGACTACTTGGCCCTAATACCGTCTTTTCATATGACCAAAGTACTCATGTACTGTGAATCATCCAATTTTTGCTGGTTCGAATGATTTACGAATTTTTGGTATACGTCAGAATGAAATTTCGCGAAAGTCTCTGACACTCAATGTTGCTAGACATTTTCACTCTAATATTATTACTATGTACTGTAAAAAATAGGTTTTTACGCTCTACAAAGCAAATTCCTAATTACATTTTACATTTTCATAATACATACTAGTATATTTTTTTAAACAAGGGAACAGGGGCGCAGCGCCCTCATGCCATGGCATGTGCCCCCTTACCCTGGGTAGCAGATCCTCTGGCAACCATAAAATTCTGATTGACCAGGGATCACATGTGGCCACAGTCTTCAACTGTGACCTGTCTGATTTTTGGCCCCAAAGAAGGCATAGAATGCTCCATTTTAACTTAGATTTATCAAAAACTCCACACCCTGGTAGGGAGAACTCTATCTCCCCCACTTGGTGGCTCTGCTGAATTGCAGTGCTCCCTCTTGCAGTTTTTTTTCCAGAAAAAAACCTGATATGTTTGATAATTTTTGTTAAAGAATCAAAATTATGGACGAATAAAATAGCTGATTACATTTTACACCTTGCCCATATCTAGAATTTTTGTTTTTTATTTATTTAAATTACATTATTACGGAAATAAAAACAATTGATTACAGCTTACGAAAATACCCCTTGCCCACCTTCTGTATAATTTTAGTAATGTTTATGAAATATTTTTCATTTGTCATTTCTGTAATGACAAAAACTTGTTTGAATCTAAACTGCACATTACTAGTAATGATCAAAGCTTATGATTTTCTATTTTCTGTTTTTACACTCATTGTGTGCATTTAACTGCTTAGACTATATATTCCATTTTTTTATTACCGGGTAGTTTGAATATATATAGGTTAGGACTTTGAAGTTGACACTATTTAAGCTTTGTGAACAATTTATTCTTCTTGATCTCATCTATCATATTTAGACCATCATGCCCCTATGCTTTTACTCCCAATACATTTAAGCCAACTACCTTACTGATCTCTCTGTTATCTATGCACATATTTAGTTTACTAGCTTAAATAGTCTGCTATAAGATGACACACTATGAGTTCGCAAATACTGTAAAATACTTTATTTTAGCTGGAATTAATTTTCGCTGAAAATACTTTTTGGGTGTTTTGTATGGAATTTATTTTCACTGATTTTTGACAAGTTTAATGTAAAATATAGGAAAAAAGGTATATTCGCTGGACTTTTATTTTCACTGAATCATTCCTTCAGCGAAAATTAATTCCAAGCGAAAATAAATTATTCTACAGTAAAATATAATATATATATGTTTTACATAACACATAATGAAATATAATTTTTTTCATTTTGGTGTCTGTACATGCATTTGTAAGCTGTTTTTTTTTGGGGGGGGGCATGGGCATACAAGCAAGTATATTCAACTAGTGCAATAGGCTCCCAGATGACTGGTTGTCAAATTTACCACACGTTGGTACTTGAAACTGGTCTCTTGCTTTTCACTGAATACTAAGACTGTTGTTTTGCAGGAGAAAGTCAACATATTGGATCTTTCTGAGTTGTACAGGCCTGAACCTGAAGCACAAAAGAGGAAACAAGCGTACAGGAATTTTGATGAGGTATCAGTGATCACCTATTTTTCTTTTATTTCTTTCTTGTGCGTGATTTAATACAATTGTTAAATAGTGGTTCATTTTTTGTTTCATATTAACAATTTGTTAGACATAATTTATAATATTTTAATCATACCTCGGACAAGCAAGGTAAAATAAATCTGTATTCAAACAATTGGTGAGTTAACCCAAATCCTTCTAATAGTTTGAAGGTTTGTTCCCTTTGCTGACTATCTTATTGTATTCTTATCTCAGGCATTTACTTGAGAATCCAAAGTTCAATGTCAAGAAGGACAAAAATTTGTACCATGGAGTAAATAACAAGAATGAGAAACTAAACTGAATAGTAATGCATCCCAGATTATATAAATTCTGTTTTCTGAATTATTTAAACACAGAATAAAGAAAGTGACAATTCGCACATTAAGCGTGTCCAGGAGACGTACAAACTCATGCACACGTATCAGACAGTGGAATTTGTATCTCAAAAGGTAAGAATTACTTTACTTAGAAACCAAAATAGCTAAAAAAAGGCATCATTTCTAACTGAAACGTTATTGGCACATTGAAACATTCAAAATATCAAGACAAGTAAAAGGAATATAAATGTAATTTTTTTCCCAGCATACATAGTATGAATGGTTTCAAGAAATACCTACTCTCTAGTTTAGTATAACTTGCACCAAATATTGTTTATAAACTGTGTTCATCTGATTAAAGAGACTCATTCACAGTGGTGCCTAAACAAAACTTTACAAGAAATTTATCATAATTGTGGCGACGAAACGCAGACTGAATTTTAGAAACTGAATGAGAGCATCCTGGGGTTTTTTTTCTGAATATATCAATGACAACTAAACTCTTCTAAATTAAGAACATTTATATTATTAAATTAATTTCTGTTTTCAGCTAGACAACCTAATATCTTTAGCTTATTATACAAGTCTCTTTCTGGTAAAGTACTGTAATTTATTTTAGGACTTATTGTCGAAAAACTGAAATTGATTTTAGAGGATTCAGATAATTAAAATCCTGGCAATCAAAAGTACTTATAAATTTACTTAACTCATTTACTTATCAAGCCTCTTATCTCTGAAACAAGCTTAGTGCTGATAATGTTGCTATTTTTAACTAAAATTAAACAGGTTGCCTGCAATACTTTTTAAACTGGTTATTAATAGGTGATTTTCCGTACAATTGCGAGATCTCGCGAGATGCATGAAAGACGCGCGTCGAACGTCTGCCGCAAAAATCGAACGATTGATTTTGAACTAGAATTTTTTTATTTCGTAGCTTACATTGACCGGCCGATCTTCGACAGAGGAATATTGCTTCCGAATACCCTTCCTTAATCGAAATTGCCTATCATCAAATGTGGACAGCACATTATTAAGCATGGAAATGTCCCCGAAATACTTTCGCGTTTGTCGAATCCCACGCGATGTTTGATGCCACTACGACGCTATGACCTTTGTTTGTCCTGTTTTTATGTTCGATTTCACGCATAACGCGTGATTCTCGCAGTGAACGGAAAATGGTCTATTTTAATGTATTTTCACACAGTTTTGCTTGAAGTATTAACACCTTGTGTGTTACTTTTTATTTTATTCAATGATAAATAAATTATTATAATAAACTTTGCAGCATCAAAGCACAAACCATAACGAAGTTGCACATACATTCATTATAATTTTTTTGCTGCGTTAATGACTTTGCAGCCATGTATTAACTGTGGAATCTATTCATGTTTACCACATTCTAAAATTTCATACATACACATATAGTTTTAGGCCTACATGCACAAGCTCAAAAAGAACATACATTGTTCAGTTTGCACCCGGTTATTTTGAAATCTGAGTTAGATTATGATTTGGTGAATTCTTTAACCACACTCTGATAATTTTATTTTCAGCGTGATAAGTGGGGTCAACTAAATAAAGCTGAGATGAATGTGATGCAAGCACTAGAATTTCTCAACAACTTGGTTGATGAGAGTGATCCTGATGTAAGTTTGACTTTTTCATTTGCATGGCGCATCAACAATTATTTGTTTTTGTATCCAGGTGGCAATAGGGGACAAACAAGTAAAAATTGATCTGTGATTCAGACATTCTCTAAATAAATGCTGACAAGAATCCTATAATTGTACTTTTAGCACATAGTTTGAAGCCCTACAATTGATTGGCCGAAATATTTTTTGATTTTCTTTTAATTTTTAATATATCTTTACTTCAGGTCCTCTGTAATGTGACTGTAAAGGTGTGTAATATTAATAAATCTAATGCATTCATTTCTTTGCTTCATTATAGGTTGATGTACCAAATATATATCATGCATATCAAACTGCTGAAAGAATTCGTGCCAGGCACCCTGACAAGGACTGGTTTCATCTAACTGGTTTGATTCATGATTTAGGAAAAGTCTTAGCGCTGTGGGGAGAGCCCCAGGTATGTCTGCATGGATGTTTTAACAAAATCAAATTGCTACACATATAGGCTAACTTTAAATTACCAACAAACTGAATCAAAGCAGACTCTTTCAACAAGTGTAATTTAATTTATACATACTTGCCTTAGCTTTTTGTTAAAAACTTTCCATCATCTGGAAGACTTTAAAGAAGGTTGGTGCAGGACAAGTTGTACCCGACCTCTACCTACCATTAATGGTATCACCATTTGCATGATGTCCCATGTTTGTTTGTATTATTAGAGGATGCTTACATGTGTAATCAATCCATATTAGGAATTTGTATTTCCTAATATGGTAGGATGAAAATACTGTGTAAAACACCGCATAATTATGGCACGCTGTAACTTATGGCATTACAATGACAGATGTATAATAATATTAGTTACATCTACATTGTACTTATTTGTTTTAGTGGTCTGTTGTTGGTGATACCTTCCCTGTGGGATGTGAATATGGCAATTCCATCGTATACAAAAATACCAGTTTTGTTGATAACCCAGACTTGAAGGACCCTAGATATAAGTAAGTACTTAAGAAAGTTTTATAGAATGGAAAATATTCTAACCAAATATTCAAAGTGATAACATTTTTATGGCAATTTGAAAACTTTTGTTTTCACTGTTCACTTTTTCACTGTTCAAAATACTTGAGTGTACACTGCACTGTGATTGTTTTTTTTCAGCTAGTGTATGTAGGTCTGAAACCTGAAGTGCACATGTGGAAAGTTTTTAGGAATTTAAGCCAATATAATTGCTGAATACTAAACTTTTGATTAAAAACTGAGTCAGCTGCTTATCTGGTCCCAAAAAAACGCGTACAAAATAATGAAGTTGCAATTGTTTGTTGATGAGTATGAATACACAAATTGTTAACAATTGTTACTGCATCTTGATATTAAATATCTATTGTTGCTGTTTGCACAATTTGCATTACCGTAAAAACCCTAAAAATTCGACCACCTTTGCCCCCTCTAGAAATTCAACCACCTAATTATTTGGTAGATTCATTGGTATATTTATTGCCTTCTAAAATTGTGTCTAATCACAGAAGTGTGTGATTTTTGGTTTTTCCATAATTTTTCTTGGACCTGTGATTTAAGACTAATTTAGGCTTTTTTTATTGATGAGAACAAACCCTGTTGTGAGCAATGGTACTCTGTGTAAAAAGAATCAAAACGTGGAATGTATTCATGTTCACCACAAAAGACCACCTAAACCTTTGATTTTTGCACAAAAATAACTTACTCTTTTGTGGTTCTAATAACATTGCTTATTATTTAGTCATGATTCAATACAAAAAAAAAGTATTTTGTTTGGTTTGTTATAAAAATATATGTAAACATGTTTTATTGTGAGCAAAGATTTTACTAAACTTACCAGTATTGATTTTAATTATCAAAATTGTAGTACCACATGTTGGTGTTGATTTCACTGCATGATGATTTCTAACCAGAATTGTGTTTTTACAGGTTTCATGATGAAATGTATTTTTTGCGTTTCATGAATTCATTTTTAATACACTATCATGTTTATGTTACAAATATCTCCTACATCGAATCCATGCATTCAATTCACCCTGCACACATGACGACTTTCTTATACTGTGGTACAGATTGCTTGTAACGGAACTATATCACCTGACAGGCTACAGATTTAAAACTAATTATTTAAATGTGGTCAGAATTTTGGAGTTTCTACGGTAATTCTGTATCTTTTGAAAAATACTTATGAACAACTTGCACAATCTTGCAAAAAGTTTAAACAAATTTATAAATGAATTACACAAAATTCTATAATCCAAATTGTTGTAATTTGTGTGATTGGGCTGGCTTATAACTCTAAAATGCTAAAATTATATACAATATCGTAAAAATCAAAGCTTCTCGGATAAAAATTTTTCCTTTGTGCATTTCTTTTACAACATCTATAGGTTTATTTACTTTGTGTGGGTGCGTGTGGTTTTTTTGTCTCTAAACAGATAAAATGTCATCATAAATTTGGATTTTTGAGTATATTTTGGTTTCCCATATATCATGGGATATATTGATACAGCCATCACTCTAGGGGTCTTTTGGGGTCCCATCCTGTGGGTTTGGGCGAGTGACAATACTTGCTCCCTGTTACCTAGGAAGGACCTCCCTTGATAAATTGAGGGGTATCTGCTTTTTGTGCTGTGCCCACTTTGGGGCCCCAGAACAACACTAACAATGTACAAAGCGCAAACTTATCAACTCTTACAGCACCAAGTACGGTATTTATGAAGAAAATTGCGGCTTGGATGATATTATCATGTCTTGGGGGCATGATGGTGAGAACATTGCGCAGCTTGTTATTTGTGAACAGGAAGAGAGGCAAACTGTTGTATTAAACAATTCATTTTACTGTGTTTTTTTCTATTGGAAGCCAACATACAGTGAAATAATATTTATTTGAATTCCAGTTGATCTGGGGATGCCTCTTTTGCAGAAGAGGTCATTTAGAAATTTATATTTGGCTTGTGGATGCTACATGCTTCTAACAGAAAAAATGCACTTTATTGTTTAACTGGAATAATGAATGGCATTATTATTTGATTGCAGTGCTATGAAAACCATGCCGATTGTTTGGCTAGCAAACAATAATAAATGAACAAGGCCAACCTGGTCTTTTGAAGGCGCAATTTTAAGAGACCTGTACATTTGACAAGCTAATTTTTTAAAATGTGAAATGCAAGGAGTCACTATGTCCATTTGACTGTTTTATTCCAAATTTTCATTGTGCACACATGTTTTTTTTGTTTTTTTTCCCTGGACATGTTAGAATAAACTATAAAGTTTCATTAAATTCCCCATAAATATTCAGTACACACCATGGTTTCTGTACTTTGATAATAATGTTATTCCATAATCAATAATTCTACTGCAAAGTAAAACAGAGTTGGACAAAGTTTAAAACTATGGCTGATGAATAAATAGGCTTGTGTGTTTGTATGGAGTGTTGACTCATTGACATATTTTACTCCAACTTAACACAAAGATAAGACGTGGCGGGTCTCCCGAATGCATTATTTCAGTTTCAGGTTCAGAAGAACTATGATTCCTTCCATAGTGTTGCACATTTGTGTTACCCAAGTCTATGGGAGGAATCATAGCTTTTCTGTATCAATGAAAATATCTGAAAATAACAAATTTAATGACACGAAATATATAAGAAATGACTAAAATACCATTACAATGACTAAAGGCCGACACAAGAAGAGCTATAGACCCACAACGAGACCCAACCCAACTCGTTCACTGGCCCACTTCGCTCACTCAATCACATACCCAGACAGTCAGACAGATGGACGGACGGACGGACGGATGGATGGATGGAAGGAAGGAATGAATACAAGTTTGTGTGGTTAGTCATCAGATCTAGATTTTAGAATTTGAACCTACCAAAATATAAAGTAGGATGGGGACTCCATTATCATTCATAACTCATCTGTTTAAGAGCAGTTTGTTTTGTATACCCTCACTGGCAGCAAGTTGTATTTTGATTTCCTCCTTGCTTGTATTTACATTGCAAAAACCTTTCATAACTTACTACCATTCATTTCATTCCACTGAATCAGTATTTATCATAACAAAATGACCACATCTTATATGTCTGGTACCGGTATTTCTGAAGCGTTTCTATGCAGTGTGTATACTAAGAATGGAGAAAATTCTCAACTCTAAAATCTTTTTAATCGCACTCTTGAGATTGTAGTAAATTTGGGACTAATATATGGCATATTTTCTAGATTAAAATTTGCTTGTAATACCTGTAAATTATGTGCTAGTATTGTGATGATAGCCCAAATTGGACCAAAAAAAGTTTGTTGCTCGGCGTAGGGAAAATTAAAATGCGATGTTATTCATTTTTCTTTTGTATTGAGATTTGTCAGTACCACAAGAAAAATGTTTATCATTTATCAAATAACACTTTTGAATACTTGCATTAAAAATTAAATTACATCAACAAATCATCCTCCGAAACAGAAAATAAACATTTTACGGTATGTGGTTCTCTTTACTGAGCGCGAAAATGTAAAGAATATGATTGAGATATAACGGTAGGTTTCAAAGTTTTTCATGCGATGACATTACAAGAAGCAGAATCTTTTTCCTAATTTCCCATCAATATATAATGCAACAGTGAAATATGTTATGAACTGACTAAATTATCACTGGAAACAGTTAAAGTTTAAATGTATGAATATTCCATAATTTACACTTAATAAGACAATATGTCACATACTAGTCCATAAAGATCAAAACTATTAACCTTCTGTGAGTGCATCTTCTGATCATTACAACCATTATTATAATTAAAACTAGAATATTTCAAAGCATATGAAATCAAAAAATAAAATAAAATAAGGTTTATGAAACTGCATGTTGAGAATAAGCCTCTACCTCTTCTATGTCACACTCAAAAATATTGCCACTTTAATACCAAACCACACACACACCGCACTATACTAATGTGCAAGTCAGGTCCAAAGGATGACTCCACTACATTTGGTCTGGTGTTAGTAGCCAATTATTGACCAAATGGAGGAAATTTTCTTCTGGTCTCTGGCAATAATGGCCTAATGTCGACCAGAAGAGAGAAAGTAAACTAGGTTTAGTACGAGTTGCCAATTGTGGAAGAGCTGAAAGCTATTCACTTTGGCAAAACGTAATCCAGAATCAGATAGATTGTTCTTGTAGTAATACTAGCAGTTAGACGTGAACCAGAGTTGAGGACCTTTGTATACTACTTTATACTAGTAGTACCGGTAGCATCGAATAGGTCTTTGGGGACACTTTTTTATTACATAGAATACTATAACATAGATGCATTGGGAAGAGGCTTATACTTAACCATCATGTTTATAATACCACATTTTAACCAATGCAAAATTTGTTATACTTATTTCTGTTTTGCAAATCTGTTTATTCTTGAATGAACTTCACAATAAAGTGTGTGTATTCTCACTAAGAATATAATATTAATGGTTGAATGTTAGTAGACACGTAATGTATTGAACAACTTCAGACTTGAATGTATTATTTTAAGGTTCAAATTTGAATTCTATGTAATCAAATTTAAGTCTTTGGTGATAGCTTTCAAGGTTTGTGTCAGTTTTCTCATTTTGTATTAATTAGCTAGGAATCAATATAAAGTTTTATTTAATCAGATGAAAATGCCCCAAACGAGTTAAAGCTGCATTGTAATGAATGATTCCAGATTCTCCAACAAAATTTAAAAGCTAACATTTATTTTAAACCGTAAAGTAGTACTCCAGTGGATAGTGGAATATAGGGAAGAAACTACATGTACTTGCATTTTTGTTTTGAATAAACTTAGCTTTGATTTAGTGGGCTATACTTTATGATTGGATACTAACTTTGCACAAACTTAAGTTTGATATGAAAACCTGTCAGTTTGTCGGCATATAGATCTTCATAACTTGTATACATGTATGATATTCATGGCAATGCAACTTTAGTCACTTGAATAATTCAGTTTATACTGTATTATGTGTGCTTTATTCTCATGATATTGTTTTTTATTTCTCTCCTCTGTCATCTTTAGAATACATGTACCAAGTACTGGTGGGCAACAAAACAACACTACCTGAAGAGGTAAGGACAATTGCAGTACAGTTTTCCTCAAATACCACAATCATTGCCCTCTGAAACAAATATAGACTGGTGTATTTCATCGTGACGTGACGTGATGTGATGTGATGTGACGTGACGTGACCTGACATGATGTGATGTACTGTTGGTGTATAGCTCAATGAAAGTTGTATCAATGGGTTTGACTTGTCTGTTATTAGTCACAATTTGACACTGCCACTATATATGGGATATTTAAAGTGCCTGTGCAATGCCCACTCTCACGTTAACTATTTTAGATCCGTGTCCTACTGAAGTGGGCAGTTATTGATTATTTTTGTCAAAATGGTTACTCCTATCCAAGTAAATTTAAGATATATCTCGTGCTGTAGCCACGCCCACCTATCCTGAAACGGTCGACTGTTTCCGGATTTCCGACTCTCGCCGAAAGTGCGCCACCAAATGCCAAAATATGAGAGGAAGCCATACTCCTGAGCTGTACTTATATAACACTGCGTGATTCAACATACTTTTAAACGATATACATTTTTCGGTCGGCATTTCTTTTTTTTGTCAATTTTTTTTTTTTTTTTTTGAGATAGAGAGTTTT